TATTTTTACTAACTAAAAACAAAATGGCTAAAGGGGCAAAAAGAGTCTGCTCTACCTCGAGGCCCATACAAGCTCTCGACAGCTCTGAAGAAAAAATAAAATTTTTCTTTAAGTCCATTAAAATTATTCAATGATATGGCAGCCATTACACCAAATAAAATATTTAAAAAATAGTTGTCATAAAATTAAATCACTCAAATGTAAAACATGAAAACGTAACCTGTCAACGCAAGAAGACTTTCTTTTCTTTCGAATGATTCGGCATTCTAAACCAAAATGACAAGAGAATAAACTAAAAATCAAGTTTTCTTGTGTAATAAGAAAAATATAATAATTAAAATATTGTAAAATTAGATAATACACTGAATACTTTTGACTGAATCTCAAAATCTGGCCAAACCCTCGATGTGTATGGGTAAAATGCCCTCTTAGAGCCCACAGAATGAAAAATGTTTAAAAAACAATCGAAGATTTAACTTTATAGGTGATCTTACTAAATTAAATTAACGTGATAAATAAAATTTAATAGTATGGAAATAAAAATATTTGGTATTAAGTAAAATTTGAAAATGTTTAATCTTATTTCAAGTCGTTAAACATTAGAATCTGTAAGTGTGTCTCTCGTGTCTTATACTTTGTCGACCTACGAGAAATATCTATCATTAGATGATAATCCTTTCCTTCCCGTAAAGGATATTAACCGAAATGTGCGCTAATTTTGAGCATTCCACCTTACTTACATTTGTTTTTTTTTTCATTAATATTATATACTACGTACATAAACATGCTTTGTTATTCTGGAATGACATCATTCATTATTATTTTATATATATTTTTTTCTTTAAAACAGTTCCTAATGAAGGAAAGTCCTTCAAATATTCAGATCAACTCTGCTGTAATTTTAAAATATATTTTTTAAAACTCTTTCCACCCTATAGACACTAAGAGGGCCTTTTTAGCATGCCCATTATGGGTTCGGCAGACCTACTAATGGGGCGGCAGGGTGATGAGGCATGGAACCCGAAATATCCGGAAAGACCAACCCCAAAATTTCTGGGTTATTCGACACTCTCGAAGAGCACAGAGCGATAAGTTGCCACCTTAACAATTCGGCCATCCTGCCAGTCGCGATTTTTGTCCATCTGACATAGTACTCGAGAAAATTTTGAATTGAAATCATCTGAATTTCCGTCCAGCCCGGAAATTCGGAATGTAGTTAATCAGACAATGGAAATTAATAGATCTGCAATTTGAAAATTGCAGCCTTATATTAAAGGCAATGTGAATTAGGAGAGTTTTCTTTATTCGCTTGTTACTCATTCAAAATTGTACGTGAGATAAACCAGAACTGTAAAAAAACGTAATGTAATGAATCACTAACTGAAAGTGAAGTGAAAAAATGACGTATTAGATTCAGTTATAAACTGTGCCAAATTGAAGAGAATCTAATCCAAAAGACATGTATTTTCGAGGGGAAAAAAACAGAAAAATTTAATTTTCTTGAATTTCAATATTAATCTAATTATATATAATTTTTTTAAAAATACATATTATATTAAGTTCATTAAAAATAACTACACTGAAATTGAATCGAAATATTTTTGACTTCATACAATTTATTTATATTAAATTTCTTTATGTTTTTTTCTATTTTTTACGACCCAAATTCAAGAGTTAATAAGAAGAATATGAAAGAGAATTTAATAATAAAATTTAAATCTTATTTTAGAATTTATTCTATCGACATTTTATTATAATTTTGTTAATTAAAACCGCAAATAAATTAAGAATAAAATTTCAAAATTTCATTACTGGTTTAGAATCTTTTAGAAAAAAGTCCAGCAAAGAATTGTGTAACTTTCCCAGCAAAAAAGTTAAAATTGTGTGTGGCGCCATCTGTTACGAGATTTTATTTAAAAATCTTTATATTATTATTATATAATGGCTAAAATATTAATTTTCAGGGTAGAGATGAATTTTATAAAAAAAATTCTAAATGCTAAAATCTTTAATAAGACTCACCCATTAGAAATACGAGAGGAGACTTGCCTCTATCTCCCCCAATCCCCTCGACCTTTTACCACCAAAATTTAATACTTTCAATGGCTCTAATACACAAACTTTTCTTCAAAATTTCAGAAATTTTCGACATAACTCACAGGAGTTATTAATTAAGTTTCAAAGAGGATGAAGAAAATCATATCCTCCCCCACACACACAATTATCCACACATACAGAAACTCCCAACTATTTTGCCATTTCTCAAAGTTTCAAGGTCCCCCAAGTCCAAAAAGTAAAAATCTTGGGCGGGTCTTTTTTAACCCACGACCATACTTTCCCTCTGTTATATATAAAAGCCGGAAAAGTAAAAATAATAATAAATTAAAAGTAGTATATATAAAGTAGACTCTTACTACATGAGAAAATTAATCACTTTATGAATCTGAAAAATAATAATACGAGTGTACGACGAGAAAGATCACAATAAAGTAAGGAAAAATCACAAGGATAAATATATATAAGGCTATACAGACAAATAAGCAAGATATTTTTAGACATAATGGGTGAAAAGGGTAGCTTAATATTTCTCCAATAAACCATTAATCTCTTTTATCTACATATAAGGAGAGACTAATATTTTCCCAGCGCATTATCTAAACAATATATTATTGAACTGAATATACATTATATTATATTATTACGAAATAAGAATAAAAATCTCACCTAAAAGAAAATATCCATTTTTCTAATTTCGTAATCCAAGCATTCCATATAATAAAATTCAGCTTTTATCATCCACAAATAAAAATTTAAATTCGACTGATGTAGGATCCTAATGAATGTCTCTTATCATTACGCATTCCTTCAACTAGAAGTGTGCAATTAAATACAAAATTTTTAAGTTTCTCACTAAAATATCAGTCGCCCACACTTTAACATACTTAAAAAATATCTTACATCTGCACTAAATCGCATTGGTTAGGCAAAAATCCCAAAATTATTAAAAAAAAAAGGGGGGGTCCTCGAGTGAATCAGAAAATTTAAAAATATAATAAATAAATTCGGTCGTTTTGAGAAAAAATTTGGCTAATTTACTAGGATTTAAACTGCATCTTCCATTGCATTATTAAATTTTAATTCGTTATTCTACTTTTAAAAAAGTATTTAAAATACCTTCTGAAAAAATTTATTAAAATTTAATTCTATTCTATTTTTATTTAATTAAATAATATTAGAGATTAACAACTCTTGATAGCTGTAATTAGTTAAGAGAATACATAGAGGTTTAACGTTGTAATTTTTAAATATTTTTTGGCTCTTTTTGTCCTGGGCCCACTAAGAAGGCCTTTTAAATCATACTCATCTATGGCAACCAATCTTTCTACAGGCCAACTCTAAAATTTCATCGTGGGCCTGGCCCAACTCATAATGGATTGCTAAAAAAGGGCCCTCTTAGTGCCCACAGGACGAAAAGATGTCGAAAAAAAACTATGATGGCCCCATTCTCGTGGTGAAAGACAGGGTTCGATTATCCTTGACAGCCACACCACGAAAAATTTTTGAAGTTTTTTTTTAATTACCTGGATTTGATTTATCAGAGCGGTAGGCTGGGCCCTTAACCCATCTCGATTATCCGGCTGTCACATTTCTTTTTATATATTACAATTTAGTGAATATAAAGTTTCAAAGAAGTAAAATAAAAAGAAAATTAAATTTAAAATAATCAAATAAAGAAGCTCAGAAAGTAATTAGATTTAAATTGTAATTTTTCACAATTATAATTTAATCGCTTTATAAAATTATAATAAAAATAAAAATCAAATTACTGTAATTTTCATTATCTTAATTTTGTAACATAATAATTGCAATTTAAATCTATTAAAAAAAACATAAAAATAGCCACAGAAAAATCAGAAATATATATTAAATATAAGAATATTTTAAAAATATTTGTAATTTTAAACCTGTCCAAAACGGAACCTGAATAAAGCGGAAACCTGCCAAAGCAGAAAACAATACTGTATTCGGTACCTTATGATTCCGGTTTATACAGGTTTATTGTATTTAATAAAATTTAAAAATTAATCTACTGAAGTAACGTCTGTTGAACTAAGACATTGACATCAAACTGATGTATTGTTTTACTTTTATTTATTTGTTATTATTATTATTATTATTATTATTTTCTTTTTTGTATTTTCAACGTTCCGCATAAGAGAATTTACAACTCTATCATTACATTAAACAATTTCCGAAAGCATGCGAGTGTATAGATTGATTTTCAATTTGATGGATAATGTTCTCACGTGACAACTTGTCCTTTGCAAGAAAATCAAAATTAAATTGTTAAAAATTGAGGAAAGAATCTTTCATGCGGAAATTATTACACTGATATAGGAAATTTTGAGACCGAAATAACAAAAGATTTCTATGTCATAATACTGAAATTCTTCAATATATAAAAGGGAAAAGAAAAATAATCTTACCATTAAAAAAAAACTATTGAATCTTCGCTCCTACGTGCATTTACAAATGAACCTAACACGAAACTTTGACAGCACAAGTATGGTTCTTACTTGCAGAGTCTTTACACTTAGTTATTTGAGTTGGTAAATTTTCCAAATAGTTCATGTTAAACTTTATTCCCGAAAATGTTTGCTTCAGCTGAATTGAAGGCATTGAAAATATAAACATAACAGTCAAAAAGTAAAATAAACTCATAAAAAGGTGAATATTTATTCTTTCTAAACTAAATTCTTTGATCTTTGCCAAAGTAATTCGTGTTTATAATATATTAGAAATAATAATCGATGTAAAAAAATGCAAAAAGATATAATAAATTTTGTTGTTTTGGCACTCATTAGCTTCCGTTACAATCACAATATTCTTTCGGGAGCGCGGAATTTTTGACGTCACCCACGGACTAACCAATGATATGAACGGAAACAATGATTTTAGAACGTAAATTTCATTTAACAAACAACTTTTAACTCCATATTCGGCAATCGGGGTGTTGTATCAAATGATCCCGTTCGGTACACTCACCGGAAGAAGCGATGAAGCGACCTCTGTTCTTTCACTTAACAAATTCATTTTGGTGGTGGTCAGACGAATACTGGAGCCATGGTACGTACTAAACTTTATATTACATATATTTCAATTAAGTTTTCTACCAAAAGCCTAATGTTTCGGCCATCTTAATGCCAAATTCGTATTGTCACTAAACTCTTTAATTGTATTTAATCAGATTTCTTAATATATATTGTTGGTTGAACCGAGTTAATTTTATACCAATTATACCAAATTATTTTAATATTTAAACGTCAAATATTCGATTAGATGTAGAGCCGTTGCTTTAAACATGTAAACAAAGTTTTGTTTATATGACTCGGTGCTAACTGATGACCGATGAAAATTTCTATAAATAAACTTTTCTCTGTAAATTTGATGTTTTTAACATGTTTTTCTGAATTGTTTATTCAGTTAAAATTCCAGTTTCATTTAAAATAACTTTTTTTTTTCTTTTATAAAAGTCTCAGAAGACCAAGAGTAAGGGAGAATCTCAGAAAAAGAAGGCTCAAAGAGCAACATCCAATGTATTTGCAATGTTTCAACAGAATCAAATAGTCGAATTTAAAGAGGTACTTATAAAAAAATGAATTTACATTTTATATAAAATCAGTGATGTAACTCTGGAGGGTAATCCGTAAAAATAAAAAAAATTATTTATTTATTTTTTTTATAAATTTTATTCCTAAAGCCTCTGGGATCCAACACCCAGATCAACCCCCCATAAGTACGCCACAGTATTAAATGCTGATAAAATATAAATAAAACTACAAATGTAATAAAACAATGTAGATTTAAAGAGCAAATTTATTCTTCTTAATAAATCATTCTTTAAATTAGGATTTTCAGAAATTGGTACGAATGAAAATGCCATCTGGAAATGACATATATTAGCCATACAGTTGCGTGATCTCATCTATTAAAACACTGTTTTTATTGGGTCAAGGGCAGTTCCTAGTTAATGGTGTTATTACTGTATTTAGAGATTTATTCGTGAATATTAATAGCTGATTAACCGAGGTTTTAATTATATATTAAGTAAGGTTTTACGTAATTTCATAAATTTTAAAAAACAGTTTTTAAGTATTCTAATTTGGGAACGTTAATACGTGTGTCTGAGTCGTTTATTTTAATCTTTAGTGATGCTATCTGATTGAATTTTGTCCTAATTTCTAGAAAAATGTAGGACTTCTATACATTTAGAATAATAAATAGTATTGTGCTCATTCAAACGTGGGCATTGCTTTGTTTAACTTAAGAGGTTTGTATTTTCAGGCCTTCCAGCTTATTGATTCCAACAAAGATGGGTTTATTGATAAAAACGACTTAAGAGCAACATTCGATTCTCTCGGTACGAATCAATATGTTAATTAGATTATAGAATTTAAAATTTAATTTAAAATATAAATAATTTTGTCCAAAAATCTCCAGGAAGAATAGTGAAAGAGGATGATTTGGATGGAATGATAGCAGAAGCAACAGGACCTATTAACTTTACCATGTTCTTAACTATCTTTGGAGAGCGTGTTTCAGGTTATAGAATATTATTTTAAATTATATCTAAATATTTACACAAAAAATTAATAATAAAATTCGATTCTACTGTTATAAATTAGGTTCTGATCCCGAAGACGTGGTTAAACAAGCATTTAAAACATTTGAAACACCCGAAACAGGAAAAGTATCTGAAAATATGTACGTAAATATAATTATTGTCTCTAGAAATAAGCTAATTTACTTTAACAATAATTAAATATTAGCACTTACGATAAGATTAATTATCCGAATCTATTAATAGTATAAACCCATTTAAAATTATGATGTAAACAAATGATTATCATAGATAAATAATAGGGTCTAAGTATTAATAAGCCATGTTTACTAGTGATGTTTAGTCAAGTACATTAGTTAAATTATAGTTAAATATAAACTCTTTGAATATTTAAAGTAAAGGAAGTACAAATTATACTTCGTATCAATCAAACAACTGACTAAGATTTATGGCATATACCTAGGAAATATATATCATCTTACACATACGTAACCTTCTTTCAGTTGAACTTAGTCTCCAGAAGTGAAAAAAGTTACATTGACTTTGACATTTGATATTTTTTACTGGATAATAACTTCATTATTTCGTAGAACATAAAACATCTTTTGTTGATGTAATGCATTTCGGGATATAAGTACTGTAAATGTCAGAGATATACAATTAAACTTTATTTTAAAGTAAAGTCTACTTGAAAAGAAAAGTTAATAGTTATATTTCCTGAAAAAAAAAAATTGTTACATTTTATTATTTTCCGCGTGTTATTTAACAGAGGGAAAGTATGGGGATGGGTCAAAAAAGACCTCCAAGATTTTTACATTTTCGGACTTTAAACTTCAAGAAATGAAAAGAAATTCGGGGGTATTTTCTGCATGTATGTGGGGGGGTACGATTTTGTTCATCCACTTTAAAGCTGAATAACTCCTGTGTGTTTTGTCGCAATTTTCTGAAATTTTGGGTGTAGTTTGTGTATTAGGGAATTGATTCTATTAAATTTTGGAGGTTAAAGGTCGTGAGGAGAGAGATAAAGGAGATTCGCTTGTCGTATCTCGAGTAGGGTCGAACTTGATGACGATTTTACTCGTTATTAGCATTCAAAATTTTTTTTTTTTATTATAAAAATCCATCCCTACCTCCAAAATTAAGCTTTTAGCCATTTCATAATAATTAAGAATATAAAAATTTCTAAAATAAAATATCATAGCAGTTTTAATGTTTTTGCCAAGAAAGTTATACAATTAGTTGCTGTATTTTTTTTAAATTTTAGAACAATATTAAATTCATTTAATTTTCTATATTACACTAAATAATCTCGACTAATTATAAGCTAAATTATATTAAATAGAGAAAATAAAGTATGAATATACAGGGAAAAAATGTTTAATTTCCGTTTATTTAAATAATAAAAATTTTAATTAGTTTCGAAATTATAAAATATCTTTGTATAAAAATTAAAGAAGTAATTTGCAAAAAATTATTATTTTTTATTCAAATAGATTAAGAAAAGCTTTAACTACTTGGGGAGAAAAATTATTAGACGAAGAAGTAATTAATTTTTTTCTTTTTCTTCTTACAAATTAAAGTATTATGATTTTTTCCTGCATTTTTTAAAAGAAATTTTCCTTCTTCATCAGGTTGACGAAGTGTTTCGAGAGGCACCGATTGATAGAAATGGATTAATTGATATCGATTCGTATGTCAAATTAATTTGTGGTTCGGCTCAAGACGAGGAAGAAGCAGCATGAAGTCATTTGTGTCATTAATAAATCGAATAATTGTTTAATATGAATTTAATCTCGCAGTGCTTCTGTTATAAAACGTGAAGCTTTGCCAACAAATATTAATTTAATTTTTAAATTATGTATTTATTTTTAAGCATTTTTAAATGCTTTTTATTACGTTTATAACATTAATATACTTGAATAAATTGAGTTATAAATAAATTAAATCTATATTTACTAATAAAACGTATTTATTTTATAATTTAGATGCACTATAATCTGTATTACGGTGCATCTAAATTATACTGTATTAGGTTTGTAATTTTATTTAGGTTAATATAAATTAACCCAAATATATTACATTTACAATCCTAATAATAAGATAAAAAATTAGTATCCGGGTCAAAGGTCATTTTGGGGTTATGGATATTATTACACTGTGTACCAGTAGCGTAACTAGGAGGGTCCGAATTAGAACGTGCGAGCCTACGTTCACCTCTGTACCATTACTGTTGTAGATTAATAATAAACTTGTAGATATTGTTAGTACATGTATATAAGTCCATTTGTCACATATTTACAAATGTTTTTCCTGTACTTATTTAATATATTCTTCGTTTACTTATATACAAAGGTGTTCCAACCTCCTCCTTGTTACGTTACTGTTGTGGGTTCCATATCCTTGATTTTTAATAAAAAGTATTCTAAAATTCTAAATTTAGTATTAATTTTTCTCTTAGTGTTCCCATTCTCATAATTTATTCGTCTCTAGTAGATCTAAGTACTACGAGCAAGATTTATGTTGTCCTAAATCAAGTCTACGATTACAGATTAAACACTATGTCAAACAGTAACTGGAAAATTTCAAGTCTTTCAAAATTAATTTTCTTGATAAGATTATTATACTTTATCACGCCATCAAATTAAAAAGGAAGTTATAAATATAATATACTATATTTAAAGGAAGATTTAGGGCTTAAAACTCCTATTACTGGGAGTTTCTCAAATTATTTTATGAATTTATAATCGTTTTTTTCTTAAAACTTTGTAATTAATAATAAATGGAAGGAATAATTCATAAATATTCGGTTTTCATAATTATAAAAATGTTTAAAATATACCACGAAGAACCTTGAATGCAGCAACATTTGGGGTTCCTAAATCTAAATTCAAATTATTTTCTAAAATATTCTTTAAAAATATTCATGAAAAACCTTTAGTCTTATTTATTTTGATAAATAGAGTATAGCATATAAATAAGAAAAAAAACCTATGCAAACTCTTAGAAATAGGGTAGGAAAGAATAAGCATCCTTTATAAATGGTTCCTAAGTCGTAACTGTACTTGTCCTGTAATAAGGAAAATAGTTTTTAGATGAATTATTTGTACTTCTTTTACATTAATAAAAGAAAATACGTGCTTTACAGCAGTCTAATTTTTCCAAATTTTCGAATTACTAGATCAGAAAATTTGGGAGAATCGGGTAGCAAGTTCATTATCCTGATGAAAAACTTGATGTTTTATGAAATAAGTTTTGGTTTAGACAGAAGGATAAGTTAATAAACTAGTATTGAAATTATGAGTCTTATTGATTTTACATTAAAAGAAGATTCTTGAGATGAATTGGTATGGAATCAAATAGTATTCAAATAGCTTGAAAGGTTAGAGTAATTCTTTTTTGAATCGAAATTTCTTTTGTAAAAAATAGTTTNGCTTTTAAACTTTCGTGTTAGTAAAATGATGTTAAAGCTGTATATTGTATTGTATTATTGTATATGTGTATTGTAAATTGATGTTAAAGCTGTATATATAAACACGTACAGTAAACCTGTGTAAACCGGAATAGTACTGTTGCGAATATCTTTTCTGTGTTTAGACAGAAGGATAAGTTAATAAACTAGTATTGAAATTATGAGTCTTATTGATTTTACATTAAAAGAAGATTCTTGAGATGAACTGGTATGGAATCAAATAGTATTCAAATAGCTTGAAAGGTTAGAGTAATTCTTTTTTGAATCGAAATTTCTTTTGTGAAAAATAGTTTTCTGTCACTTTTTTCTCTTAAAATCTCCCATTTTTACGGCTGAATAACTAACATAAACATAGATTTAACATTTTTCTCAATGATGTATAAGAGTATGCATCATCAAGTCCAGTTGAGAGTACGTGGGTACTCTTGAATGCATCTGTCATAATTCAGAAAAAAAAAATAATAATAGTTTGCAGCACAGCATGCCCCAGCAAATCCCTCCAAAACCTAACTAGCAAAACAGTTTTCTATCACCAAATAAAAACTATATCTTTTAAATTACAGATCTAAGAACTCATTACTTAAAAGTAAATTATAAAGCACGATAAATAAAGTCACCCTCTGAACAACGGCCATTGACGAAAACATAAAAAATGGCCGTTGTTGAGAGGTGGTCGTTACTGAAGTTTCGACTGTATTTAAAATGTGCAAGAAAAAGAATAAAATGGAAAATATTAAAACAGTATTTCGTAAATTATGTTTNTGGAGGTGACGATTGATAGTTGATTGGGATGTGTGCAGCTTCTCTGCTAACTCCCTCGTCGTTTGCCGTGGATTCTGCTCAATCAAGGCCTTTAAAACGTCATCATCGAAGTCTGAGGAGCGGCCTGGTCTTTCATCATCTTTTAAGGAGAAATCACCAGAACGAAATTTTGTAAACCACTTTCGAACTGCTCTGTCTGAAATTACGCCACTGCCGTAGACATCGCAAATCTTTTTTGCTGTTTCTGTAGCGTTATTGCCGAGTTTAAACTCCCACAACATGATATAACGTACATGCACTTTCAAATGTTCCATTTTAAATGAATTCAGAAACAATTTTTTATTACATTATTGACACTTCAGTGTTAAAATTTACATTTATAGACTATTTGCTAATAGCCACTAATAAAACTCAGTTGAAGCAACACAACATCTGGCAAGTATTCGACAGTCATTTACACCTACTTGCTAACGGAACTTATTTATGACTCAACCCAATATTTCTTTAGGCTCCCTAAATGCTAGTCATTCCAACTTACAACATCATTGTTAGTCATTCTTTTCAGTTTAATTAAACAATTCAAATCTAAAATAAACAAAAAATAGTATAATAAATGATCTAAGAATAATATGCTTTGCATATACTAATATTTTAAAACATATTTTACTGAATTAATAACAACTTAATTCTATAAAACGGAAACCTGTGAAAAAGGATAATTTTGACCATTGTTTTCACTGGGCGTATTTCCCTAGTAAATCAGCTAGATGCATAGGCAAACTAATAGCATAGTCCATTTCATTTGAAACGAACTATTGGTTTGTCTATTCATCTGTATTGAAACTGCTTTATCAGGTAAGGCGGACATTATTTTCATTGAACTTAAAAAGAGTTTCATGTGCAAGTTACAATTTAATCTGTAATTAAAATCAATCAAGATTATAAGATTCTAGAATAAGATTTTTGTTTTATTTATTCTAATTGTTACGAACTAAATGATTATTCTGAAGAAATTATTTTAAAACAGTAATTTAGTTTCACAAATTGAAGAATTATTGCAAAAGTTTACAACTGTTATCTTTTGCATGATAAATAATTTTTAACTCTTTCCTCCCTATTCACGAGGTATGAAGTGTGAAAAAAAGACCCTGCACTAAGAAGGCTTTTTTCCATACCCAGGCCCACAGTGGGGACGACCAGGGTCTGACAAATTCGGGAGGACAGACCTACTTTTTTTTTTTTTCTTTTAAACTCTTTCCGCCCTGTGGGCACTAAGAGGGCCTCTTTTTGCAAGCCCATTATGGGTTCGGCCAGGCCCACAATGGGCTGCCGGGTGGTGAGGGACGGGGCCCGACATATCCGAACGGACCACCTCGAAAAATTCCTGGGGATTTTTCGACCCGTTCGGATTCGAACCCGGGTCCCCCAGAGCGGCAGGCTGCCACCTGGCCATCCGGCCGCAAACCATCCCGATAAATTCCTGGGATATTTTGACTATCCGGATTGGATTTCGGATCCCCCAGAGCAGTAATTTGGCTCCTTTCCTCTTCGGCCATTCAACTGTTACTGTATGGAACCCAGAATATAATGGGCCATATTAACATTTACACACGATTCTGTAAATGAGTCATTAAAAAAATATCCCGAAGAAAAATTTATTTTACAATTAAAATATTCAACAGATAAATGAAGGCATTCATCTAATCAACCTAATCAAGTTACCAGTAACAGTAATAAATTTTCTGAATTGCTTTTATACATTGGCTAAATTAACGTCAACTTGTACTCGGTGTCAATTTGTTACTTAAACAGGGTTAAATTGATTTATTCATTAAAAATTGTCAAATTGCATAACCAAGCATTATATAATTCAGCTTTTAAACTTTCGTGTTAGTAAAATGATGTTAAAGCTGTATATTGTATTGTATTATTGTATATGTGTATTGTAAATTGATGTTAAAGCTGTATATATAAACACGTACAGTAAACCTGTGTAAACCGGAATAGTACTGTTGCGAATATCTTTTCTGTTTAGGCAAGTTCCCGTTTTATTCAGGTTCCGTTTTGGACAGGTTTTACTGTATATTCATTGCCTATATATTCATGATAAACAATGGCAGGGGCGTCGCAGAAAATTTTCCAGGGAGGGGCAAAGTTAGGAGACATAATTATATCACTACATTTTTATTTGTTTAATTTTGGGAGGGGTTTAAGACAAACAAAGCCCTCCGTGGTCGAAGGCGAAAGTATACGTCACAATCACTTTCACGATTATAATTTATGGAGTGTTTTATTCAATCCCAAGAGGAGTATATGTTCCATTTTCTCCTTCTACGTACCCCATGAATAATGGTAATTAATCACATTTTTCATATATATTCATTATTTAAAGATTTTCTCGTTATATTTTTATGTTTATCAATTTATAAAGTTATATAGTTTATTTTTATTATTAATTAAAATTTTATACTTTTATTGATGCTGGAGACAAAGTGCAAATGTCATTAATTATTGTATTTCTCATAATTCTTTTTCGCAGCATTAAATATACAACTCAGTTAATACAGCGTTTTATAGTTGTAATATGTAATACATTTGCATAGTATGCCTATAGATGGGACCTTCGAGAGGGGAGAGAAGCTGGGGGTTTTATCAGTGGATGATTACCCAATAGGAGCACTAGAAGTGCGCTTAGGGCCTCAAAAATTACAGTAAGAAGATAATATGCCCGTAAACATTTAGTGAACGTTGAAAAACTTTAATTTTGCACCCCAGCAAGAACAGTGACATAACTTGATTTTATTGTCTTTTTTATATAAAAAAATCACTTTTACATAAAGGGCTTTATAATAAAATTGCGCCTATGGACTTAAAGAACATAAAACTCTACTGGATTTTTATGTATTTGTTCAGAAATGAATAGCAAAAAGGCCCTCTACACTATTACCCGTACAAACTCTCGAAGGCCCTGTCTATAGAACTTAGGAATCGAATTAAGAAAGATGAAGAAAGATAGAAAACAAAGATTTATTGTTATTATTATTTTATTTTGCTAACTTTGAAGTTAAGATAGAAATTGCAGTAATTCACATTGCAGTGGATGATTTGATGTAAGTTGACAGGTCAATATAGTATTTGCATCATAATATAGGAGAGTTTGGGTGTCGATATTAATTTTAAATTAATAATAATAATAATAAAAAGAATTGAAATTTCCCGTGAGCTTATCACGCTTTCATTAATTTTATTAAATAATAAATAAAATGCGCATATTTCTAAACGACTTTTTCGCTCTCTCAATTGTATAATATCGATTGAAAGACACGAAATCCGATAGAAATGTTTGAAATTCGAGACGAATATTTTTGTCCTTGATCTTTTTAAGACATATTCCATCTGAGGATTAAATATATATGGCGTAACAAGACATTTCCTTTTGGAATATTTCTATTTAAACAATTAAACTTTTTTTTTTTTTTTTAAAGTGTAAATTATATTTATTTATAAAATGGAATAAGCCAAGTTATATATACATTATAAATTCAATTATAAATATATAAATATAATTAAGTATAAATGAGATGCGCGATTATATTTACATAGCAAACATTGACCAAAAGGGATGAATTTATATTACGTGTTATTCGATTAAAAATAAGTATTTTAAATATTTANAGTCATAACTTTTTTTATATTAAAATTAAATATTCTCAGTATTATTAATAGTGAAGAAATATACATATTTGTACTCTTAATAGGAATAATAATAATTGTTTTTATGTAAAATGTATAGAATATTGTTGAATCCAAAAACAAATATATATTCTCTTGTCATCTTGCATTTTATGAAAGCAGCACCATATTTCATATAGATAAAATATATTATTTTTATAAGGAACTGCTCTATTCTTTCAATTTTTATAATAATTATTAATTAGTTATTGTTGGTAAAATTCCATGCTTATCTTCTTAATGAATGGACTAAAAGGAGTTTTAAAAATTTTATTAGAAGCATATCTGCATATTATTAGGTGACTCATCCTATTGTAATTCACTATTGTACTATTGTTATATGTAACATTAGGGATATGTGTATGTATATGCATATACATATATCCTTTGTTAATCCATTACTCAGACTAAAGTTTGCAAACTATATTTCTGTATTGAAGCCAAATGATCTACTGGATTATTGAGCTAATTTTTTAAGGCTAATTTTAATAATTAAATAAAAAGTAAAATTAGCCTTAAAACAGGCCAATAATCCAATAGAGCATTTGCTTTTAATTAAAAATTGAGTTAATGGAGATAAACATTTCTATATTGTTTATATTGATATATGAATCTGTATTACATATACAGTACTGTGTAGAAATATATCTGGATATAATACCCTCTTAATATGACACTTACATTGTCTGCAAGCATTGAAATATTATTAAACTGTTTTGATTTCTTCAAAAAATATAAAGATTATTTTTCAAGTTTAACAATATGGAATCATTTCTACATATTTTGAAAATTAGAAATTTTATTCTTTTGTTTTGATACTCAAAAAAAATAAAAAACATTTTCTCAACTTGTAGTTATAACATATAAAATGATTGAGAAGAAAAATTAATCTTAGAAAATCATTGATAGATATAAAATTGCTTCATATATAATCATCTGGAAAATTATGCAAATCAATTGCAAGCAATGCAAACATGCAGTCTTTTCTTGCACAGACATAATACCATATACATTAGATAAAAGTCCAGAAACATCAGGGCATCACACTACAAAAGGCTGCCATTCTAAACAGATGTCACAGTCAAGAAATTAAATGCATATACAAACAGCATGTTCTGTAGCTATGCCTTGATCCTGGTTTGGCATAGAATTAGGCACCAGTAGATAAACCAAGTAGGATAAACTCTATGAACACCACAATAGTAATAATAATAATAATAATAATAATAATAAATAAACGTTCGGAAAGCATCTCGACCTCGACGAAACTTTAATAATTTAACCTTCGACGGTCGCGCCTCAAGAGGCTTTTGCGCGAATTATCAAACCATCAACAAAGATGGAGGAAGGGGTGTTGTTTCCTGTGGTTATCACAACCATTCTTAACTAAAACGGCTTATTTATTGATATAAAGTGATAGATGGTCCTTTTGAAGTTTTCTGTTATCGTTCATATCATTAGCGGTGTCTGTGGGGAGAGGTATTTATTACGTTTACCTATTTTAAAACCTTATATCTATAGTAATTAATTAATCATTATTTTAACTCTTTTATTGTGATAATTTTTCTCTAATAATCGTTTTAAGTGATTTTCGAGTGTTTTAAGTTTATTTTATATTTTTATTATAATTTTTTCCTTAAGAAATATTCCACACTCGTTCAAATTTTTTGACCTCTGACCCCTGAAAATTAATATAAATGATATTTAATTGTGTGGAGTAATTCTTGTTTCCTTTAATGAGAAGAATCGAAACCATGTTAATTGCATTTTTATCAGCTGATTTTTAAATTAATCCATTTCATTCTGTGTTTATCTTGTCTATTACAAGTCTCTTGTGTTTATACACTGAAATTATTTCAGTTTTTATTGATTTTTAATCTCCATAATAATTATAAATTAAACTTCTGAAAGTTTATAATGGAGAGTAAAAATTATATATATATTTAAAAAAAATTTGTTTTTTTTAATCTTTCACAAATGTATGATTAAAATTTGTTTCAAATCTCAATTTTTGTTTACATTTTTAACAGTTATCTCGCAGTTTATCACCTGTGATGTAGTTATTTTGCTAGATTTGGTTATTTCTTTCCGTATAAACTGCGTAAACTAACTGTAAATGTAAAAATATAAAAAATTTTTAAAGTAATTTAAGTTCAAAGAGTATGTTAAATGTTTCTTGGTTATTATGTTAAATTTTTAAATTGGTTCTTTTTTTTATTAAGTTGAGAAGATGTAATATATTCCTATACAGAATTTGCAATAAATTTTTATTATAATCTGGATTAATTAAAAGAGTTTCTTTGTGTTAAATTCGGTTGTAGTATGTTCAGTTCATATATACATTACTTTATAGCTTAAATTTTTATGTTTATGTGTTTGTTTGATGCCATAGAAGTATTTATAATTTGCAATATTTGGTAAACTTGATGAAACTTTAATAATTTAACTAAAATTTATAAAGAAATACATATTGTTTTTAATATTTTTGGCTTAACCTCAATTTATCAACAAATTAATATAGAAACAACAAAATTCAACAAAAAATATAGAATTGACAGAAGTATTGAACAAATAAAAAAAAGCAACAGAAATTTAAAAAAAATTGAACATAAAGATAAAAATAAAAGCTGTTCAGACTTTCCAAAATGTCTTTTTAATGTACAGTACATCAATTCTTATAATATTTAAGTTAAAAAAAAACTTTATTTTAAAGAATATAATATTTTTAGAAAAGATAAAAATATTGAAGACAAAGTTTAATAAATTAAGAATTTCAATAAAATATTTTTGGCAATTACTTAAAGAAAAGTGTAAAAGAATATTAAGATTAATAATGATTAGTAAATTTTTTTTGAAATTGCCAAGATAACTGCAGCATATGGATTCAATTTAAATAAAAGTAGAAGATAATTAAGAAATTTGATACAAATTAGATTTTATAAAAAGAAAAATTACATTGAATTATATAGAATGAGAGAGATAAGAGATTACATGTGTGAATTAGAATAAATTTGTGAAGTGAAATTAATGAGAAATATAAATATATTTATTTAGATTATTTACATCTGTGTAATGGCAAATTTGGCTGTAGGATTTAATGCTGCTACAAAATATATGATGTGCTTATCTTTAGTTCCAACAAAGTAATCAGATAACATCTTGACATTTTTAATTAAAAAGCAAATATTTTTGTTACTTTTTTATGTACTTTTCCAGTTTATAAAAATAAATGCATTCTATAATATATCATACTTATAATAATTTGAAAAATAGCATGAAAACTTGTCTCATAATATTTATGTATTATGGTAGCAGCAATATACATGGTTATTTTTTTTTAAAGAGATATGATGGTTTCTAATTCTTTCGTACAATACATCAAAACTTTAGTAGTTTTATTAAATAGAAACAATTTTTGAGAAAAACTACGAAATCAAAAGTTATAGAAAAATTGAATTGGATCAGATTGTATGAAATATTCAACTGTGACAGTTTATTTTGTTATTGTAAAATGTGTTCAGAAGAATTATTTTATAAATTGAGAAGTATTTTCTAATGTGAAGCTGTATATTGTTTAAATATTTACATCAATGAAGATTCTGTAGTAACATTATTTAAGTAATTCATAATATTTAACCACAGCAAAATATTAAGTAAGGTATATAGAAAATAATTTATAGTTCAATCTGCTGAAATCTGTACAAAACTGTCAGTTCTGAAGATATTAAAATCTCTTGTAACATATTAGAATTTTCAGTTTTCCAGATGCCACTATAGATGAAAATATCTATGATAGACTTATGAAATATGATTGTCATCTTGATAGATCAAAGGAAAAAAATAAAAACTCTTCTTTCAAAAATATTAAGTCACTACTTTTTTTTATATTAAAATTAAATATTCTCAGTATTATTAATAGTGAAGAAATATACATATTTGTACTCTTAATAGGAATAATAATAATTGTTTTTATGTAAAATGTATAGAATATTGTTGAATCCAAAAACAAATATATATTCTCTTGTCATCTTGCATTTTATGAAAGCAGCACCATATTTCATATAGATAAAATATATTATTTTTATAAGGAACTGCTCTATTCTTTCAATTTTTATAATAATTATTAATTAGTTATTGTTGGTAAAATTCCATGCTTATCTTCTTAATGAATGGACTAAAAGGAGTTTTAAAAATTTTATTAGAAGCATATCTGCATATTATTAGGTGACTCATCCTATTGTAATTCACTATTGTACTATTGTTATATGTAACATTAGGGATATGTGTATGTATATGCATATACATATATCCTTTGTTAATCCATTACTCAGACTAAAGTTTGCAAACTATATTTCTGTATTGAAGCCAAATGATCTACTGGATTATTGAGCTAATTTTTTAAGGCTAATTTTAATAATTAAATAAAAAGTAAAATTAGCCTTAAAACAGGCCAATAATCCAATAGAGCATTTGCTTTTAATTAAAAATTGAGTTAATGGAGATAAACATTTCTATATTGTTTATATTGATATATGAATCTGTATTACATATACAGTACTGTGTAGAAATATATCTGGATATAATACCCTCTTAATATGACACTTACATTGTCTGCAAGCATTGAAATATTATTAAACTGTTTTGATTTCTTCAAAAAATATAAAGATTATTTTTCAAGTTTAACAATATGGAATCATTTCTACATATTTTGAAAATTAGAAATTTTATTCTTTTGTTTTGATACTCAAAAAAAATAAAAAACATTTTCTCAACTTGTAGTTATAACATATAAAATGATTGAGAAGAAAAATTAATCTTAGAAAATCATTGATAGATATAAAATTGCTTCATATATAATCATCTGGAAAATTATGCAAATCAATTGCAAGCAATGCAAACATGCAGTCTTTTCTTGCACAGACATAATACCATATACATTAGATAAAAGTCCAGAAACATCAGGGCATCACACTACAAAAGGCTGCCATTCTAAACAGATGTCACAGTCAAGAAATTAAATGCATATACAAACAGCATGTTCTGTAGCTATGCCTTGATCCTGGTTTGGCATAGAATTAGGCACCAGTAGATAAACCAAGTAGGATAAACTCTATGAACACCACAATAGTAATAATAATAATAATAATAACCGAGTATAACTCACAAAACCCAACATAATAATAATATGCTAAAATAAATTTTAAAAAATTAAATTGAAAAATTTTAATGTTAACACTTCAACAGTTAACTGCTTAGCTTCTAAATCAAACTTTCTAAATAATTATCTGAGTTTTTCAATTGTTACATAATTACATTTGTCAGAAACTAAAAATACTTTTTTAGTTTCTGACAACTGTAATTATGTAACAATTGAAAAACTATATGCTGTTTTGGTATGTTTACATAATTATTCTGATGATTGAGATTCCTTTCCAGAAATATGTAAAGTAAATATTAAATTTGTTTTACTTTGATTTGTCTTTGAAAAGTATGAATGTTATTTATAATTCATTATCCTTTTATTTTGATCATTCTTTACAATCCATTAGTTTTCAATAAATTTTTCATGTTATCATCAATATTATTTTATAATTTGATTTTAACTCATTACAAACTCATCAAACAATTTTTTCTTAATCTAAAGTCACCAAGAGTGTGTTTAGAAAATTGAAATTTTTTATACATTGCAGACATTGTCATCACAACTTTTTGCAAAACCATCAGACATGTACGCACATGTCTTGTCTTTTGTTCATCAACCAATGCTTTAATTGATGTTATAAACCTCTACTTGAACTTTGATCTTAAAAGCTGATAAGTTTTCTATAATTTTTTCATTTTGATATAACTATTCTCAGATAACTATTTAGAAAGTTTGGGGTCATTTTTTGATTGATTGCCATACTTTCCCTCTGTTGTATATAATGGAGCCAGGAAAGTAAAAATGTTAGAACTTTTTATATACATTTATATATCATATATATCAAATCTTTTCTACAAAAAATATAACAAACTATTTAAATCAGTGATGAGCAACCATTCTGGATCTGGACACAAAGAAATTTCATAGATTTCCAGTGAGCTCAGTGCCAACATATTTCTTGACCACCAGTAAACTCGGTACTAAGACAATCTTTTCACTGGTCAAGTTCAGTTTGAATGTTTACCATCATAAATATCAGCTTACTTAGGGTCACATAATAGCATAAGATGGAAAATAGGAAAATAAAATTGTTGCCAAAGCCCAGAGACTGCATATAAGTATCCTGTGAGCTGATCTAAATTACTTTTTTATAGTTAACTGTTTGGGTCTGATGCTATTAATCACTATTAAAATCCATTTAAATGATCAAATGTAGACAAAGAATGGCAGTGACTTCTTTGTTATAGAGCATGTAAACAAAAAAGGACTTTCCCAAGTGATTAGTTGTATAGCATCCATGTATGCATGAATGCTATATAACTAATTAATACAACTAATATTTGCAGGAAACATTTACGATGATGTATATATTTCATTTACATAGCATCCATATTTTCAATCTAAATAAATGAAATATAGACTCTTGATTCAGTTGATGGTGTCTGCTTTGCCAAAAGTAGTGTTGCCATCAGGTCGGTTTTCATCCAGACAAACTTGTTTTTAAATTCATGGTCCAGATTGATTATTAATTTGTCCAGTTTTTATAGAAATTGTGAAATTATGATAAAACAAAGTAAATTTATAAAAATATTTGCAAGTATTTTATTTTAATGGTTAAACACTTTAACTTCACATCCCCACCAAAACTTATCCCTAGGCTAAGATTGACAGAAAATGTACTTTTAAAATTTTAACTTGCAAATATTTCCGGCAAATATTAGGTCTGTTCCAACACAAGTCCTTAACTGGTTTAAAACTGGCATGCACATTATGCAGTTCTTGGCTGTAAAATGACATTGCACATGCCTAATGTGCAATGTCATTTTACAGCCAAGTGCTTTATGGTTTCAAATTCAAACCAGTCAGGGACTTGTGTTGGAACAAACCTATTGTCTGGATCAGCAATTTTGAAAAGGTGACAACACTAGCCAAGAGGTAGATATGTGGACCTAAACTCTTTTGGAAAGAGGGCCAAAACAGGAAGTGTGAAGTCAATCAACTTCCAGAACCTTAAGAAAGACACAATAGAAACAAGGCCAGAAAAACTGCATAAAGATCTTTGAGGAAAAACATCATCCTTAGTAAATGGAATGGGAATTGTACATGATATGAACTTGAGTTGTTAAATCTTTTTAGAAAGAATTAATAATGTTAAGAACTTTATTCCTTAATCATAAAATGAATTTCTTATCCTACCTTGTTCAAAAAATCCTCTGAAGAACTTTGTAGATGAAAATCAAAATCCAGTTTGGAAAGCTTTGTTGTAATGTTTATTTTTATAGAAGAAATATGTAGAAACTAATATGGGAAATTCTAAGAAAATAATAGAAAAATATTATTATTTACTATGAAGATAATTTTTTTAATCTTCTACACAATAGACAGACAGTATAAAAAGTAAATAAGACATTTTAAAAGACTATCATAATTCTTCGTTATTTTTTAATTAATATATTGATCTAAAAGAGACCTCGGCAAGCTATGACCTGCGGGTTACCGAGTGACCCATTTCGTAATTTCAAGTGACCCACTTGTGTTCCAAAAATAAAATATAGTGGGTGATCAGTTAATGAACAAATTGGATACGAACACTTTTGCAAAAGATTTTTATGATCAGACAACGAACACTTCACTGAATAAACATAAAAAGAAGTGATGGATAATAACAAATACCGATTGATTTTTCCTTGTCTTTGGGTAACAATTTGAAACCTTTCGGAGTGCAAGAGATGTCAACATTGACACTCAACCCGATACCCATCAGATAGTGTTTCCTGAACTTTGAAACTTTTCATTGTAATTCCAGCTTTTTGTTTACTTTTCTGACAAATAATTTTTTTATAGTTTTTTCAAGACTGTCGGGCACTCTATAAGTTTTGCGTCAGTTTTTATTTTCTAAAGGTGGGAGTTTAACTGTCCTATCGGATATTTGTCAATGTTTTAACACCAAAATTTCTAATTACATTTGGGCTTCACATTTACATAATTCTTTCATGTGCTAGTTGATTTCTGTTCTCTGAATTTTTGTAAGTGCTTTTCTGAGCTTTTTATTTCAAACAGAAATTGATAATATTATGGAGCATAAAAAGAGTGGAGTGTCAAGAACCGTGCTCACCATAGAAACCAAGCAAGAGATAATAGCCAAAGTAGAGAGTGGGCAGATGTCTGATGTTGCTAGGCAGTATGGCTTGAATAGGTCTACAGTAGGCACAATCTTAGCTAAGAAAGATATAATCAAGAAGACTCAAAGAGCTGAAGGAGTAACGAAAATCATATCTGAGAAACAAAGATGTTCCATCCATGAAAAAATGGAGAGATTGCTTTTAATTTGGATAAAAGAAAAGGAAATGAAAAAAGATGTAACTAGTATGACTATCATTCAAAAGAAAGCTAGAGAAATTTTTGAAGAACTGAAGAAACAAACTTCACATTCATCACATGAGGAGATAGAATTCAAAGTTACTACTGGATGGTTTTCAAAGATTAGAAGGAGAACTGGCATTAAACATATGGTAATTCACGGTGAGTCTGCTAGTGCAGATAAAGAAGAAGCTGAACAGTTCTGTCTCAGATTTGAAGAATTCATTAAAAAAGATGGATATTGTCCACAACAAATTTGTTTATTTTGGAAGTACATGCCAAACCATACCTATGTTATGAAAGAAGAGAAAAATATTCCTAGGCATAAACCCATGAAAGATCAATTGACATTACTTTTGGGAGCTAATGCTAGCGGTGATATGAAGCTTATCCCACTTCTTGTCTATCACTCTGAGAACCCTAAAGCATTCAAAAAAAAATTCCATAATTAAAGAAAAACTGCCAGTGATGTGGAGATCGAATAAAAGGGCATGGGTAACACAGGCTTTTTTCAAAGAATGGCTGTTTGAAGTTTGTGCTCCAAGCATCAAGGATTATCTTCAGACCAATGAATTGCCATTAAAAGCACTGTTGCTATTGGACAATGCATCAGGACACCCAAAAGACCTTGAAGGTAATTTTCTGGAAGACTTTCCCTGGCTGACAGTTACGTTTCTACCTCCGAATACTCACTTCGTTGATTCAACCAATGGATCAAGAGGTTATTGCAGGTTTCAAGAAATTGTACATTCGAGCACTGTTTCGTTGGTGTTTTGGAGTATGCCAGTTCTTCTCAACAATGACATTAAAAACGTCTTGAAGCTATATGGCTCATTCAAAAGGCATGGTCAGAAGTCACTCAACAACAGTTGAATTCTGCTTGGCAAAAGTTGTCCCCCTCCTGTATTCAGGGAGAGAGAGATGATGTCCCCAAAATTATGTATGAAATTGTGACAACTGTTAGAGTTCTGGAATTGGAAGTGAATAAAGATGACATTGAAGAGCTCATAATGGAATCTGAAACTGATCTGACGACAGAACAACTCCAAGAATGCTTAAATGAAGAACACCAAGAAACTCAGCAAGATATGTTTTTTTCTGAAAAAGAGAAAGATCAAAAAGGATCAATGCCAACATCTGCTATTAAAGAACTTTTGAAGAATGGGCAGGCCCGCCGTAAGCGGGCGTGCAAGGCATGCACCGCACGCGGGAGGAACGTTCAGGGGGGTGGCAAATCGAGCGATCAGTCATGTAATATTCAAAGTCATTGTCATAATACTCACCCTACTTATAGCATAAGAAATGTCTTCGCATGGAGAAAAAATCCGACCGGCGTGCAATTACTATATTCTTATTTATATTATAGCATTAACAGCGCCTCTATTGGCATTTATCAAAATTAAGATGCAATGCGAAATGTCTATCAGCAGGTTGAACCATCCGGCAGCGCCCAAAAGCCAAGTACCCATAGTTGTGCTCTATAAGAGAAGTTGACAGGACTGGCGAAAATAGGGAATCCCACAGAGCTTCCTTCTCAATTTGTACTTGTAGGCATTCGAACAGTTAAATCGCATATCAAATTGCAATTATTTTGTTAATAATTCTTCTGACATGGGTCTAAGTATAATTAATGATATTTTAACTTGGTTAGGATTTAAATCTAAAGCTTAAAGACGATTCAAGTAGTGAAACAGACATTGACGGTATTGATTTGTTTAATGAAATCAATACTTTAAAGTTGCATTTTCCAGAAAACCAGTCTAATGATCCACAAACCCTATTGCAATGTCATTTTACTAATGACGTAATTTCAACATTTCCGGACACAGCAATAGCACTAAGAATATTACTTACATTGCCGGTTTCAGTTGCATTTGGTGAAAGGTACTTTTCGAAGTTAAAAATTATAAAAAAAAAAAACTATTTAAGATTAATAATGCAAAGACTAAGTAATTTAGCTGTAGTTTCAATTGAACATGAAATCTTAGACAGCTTGGATACAAGAAAATTGATAGCAGATCACCAAACACATGCTGTTTACCTGTAATTTATTTACATTTTTATTATTAATTAATGAAAATAATGTTCTGCATACATAACTGTATTCTGTTTGCTTAATAAATTACATCAGTTATATGGCTTAAGGCATATTGTATAAAAATATGTAAATCTTGGATATTTCTAAATTTTTGATAATTTGAAGTCACGATTATTTCATCCCTTGAATTTCAAAGTAATGAGGATTTTCTGTGTATACAAATATAAACATCCAATAATGCCTACCTCTTGACCAAATTACTTGACTTTTAATTAATAATTAGTAGCATTATTCTAACCCTATGTAATCTGTCAATTGTTTGGCATTAAACTAAAAATTTGGGTATTGGATGTTTATATTTGTATAATTTTATAGGTTAAAATTTTAATATTTTAAATTACAGAGCATTATTTTTATTTTTTTAATAAATTGCAAAATAGCATCAGTAAGCAAAATTTATAAGTATTATTGTCTTATCTACAGATAATCAGTTAAAAAATGATAACTTATTATAGGTCTGTTTTTGAATACATCAGTACAATCAGATTTAAAGTGTACATAAGATATAATTATTTTCTGGTTATCTTAAACTCTTCATTTTAGATAAAGAATAATAAAGTTGAGTATTTTTTTAATGCTGAGATAAGATAAGACATAACAATAAACTTATTTTGTCAACAATATCGTCAATTTTATGCATAATCTATGAATAGAAGTAACATTTGAAGTGAAATATTGAAGATAAATATGAATTTTATTTGTTATATAATTTCTATATTATATATTTTTATAGATATAAAATGACAAAGTAATCATTTCATGTAGCATAAATATCTGAGAAAATGTATAAAATTAGATTATTTATAGAAACTTTTTTACAATTATCATTATGGCTTCTTATTTAATTATTGTAATTTATTTTATTAAATAAAAAATTTATTTATTTAATCATTTGTTTTCAGTAGTTTAGTGAATGAATTAAAATATTTTACAGTTAATATTAAATTTTTCTTATTAATTTTAATACTATTAAAATGTTTTATTAATAAAATATTTTTGTAAGTTTATTTGATTCTATTTTTATTAAATTGAAAATTTAAGACACTAATTTGATATTGATTCTGGGAAAATTAAGTTGACATACATTTTTAATATAATTGAACATAATTGTTATTTTGAAATACTGAAATCTTTAGTTGATATGTTTTATGAATAAATGACATAGAAAAGTGCTCAAAGGTGTGCTTTTATGTCATTTAAACAGTCTTCTGAGTTTGATTCTATTAAGCTTTTTATGAATATTTATGTAAAAGAAATATAATATAATCTCATATCATTTTCATGATAAGATAGAAAATTTTTATTAAATTATTTTTTTCTCTGAAAGTGTAGCTGATTAAGAATGAAATAATTTTCGTTTTCACTTATTCTGAAATATGAGCAAATAGTGTTCAACATTATTGATTAGAAATGCAAAATATAAAATAAACCAAATTTACATTTGGAATTTGTTGTTCTCTCAATTTTACATTAAAATATATATAAATAATTACTAATCCTGTTGTTAATATTTAAATATCTAATTATTAGATTATTCAGGCTATATTTAGACTAGAAAATGATTAGGCAAAATTATTTCATTTGTTTAAAGTTGGCAGTTAGGTCCTGATATTGTACTAAATAAGTTTTGATTAAAGTAATTTAAAAGTATCTGAAAGAACATTGACCTAATTTGATTAAACTATATAGTTTTAGGCCAAATTACTTCATGCAATCAATTACTAGTCTAAGTGTAATCTAGAAACTCAGAAACTAGTTACTTACATTTAACTTTAAAATTATTACACTTATACCTTTTTAAATAAAGCAATACTAGTACCAGTACCACCTTTTGTAAAATTGTACATGATTTTATAATATGCAACAACAAGAACTGGAGAAACAAATAAATAAAACAAACACCTCTCAACACTGCAGCAATAATTTAATGTAAATAATTGGTGGAATGATGGAATCTGAACTGAAGAAGATTGCTTAAATTGGTTGAAAACATTTTTAACATATTAAACGTTGTTCTGGACTAGTAAAAGGTGTTTGTTTATTTTTAAATTATTTAATTAGTTCCAGTAAACATTTATTTATTTAATGTAAATAATGTTTTTAATCCAGCTTAAGGGGTCTTCTTCAGTTGCTGAAATAGAATATAAAGAATGTATTAGGAAATATACAAAATTTAGTTTAAAAATTATTGACAGAATAGAATATGCTTCATTTAACTGTGGCATTGCAAGAAAAATCCACAAAACAATCAAAAATTGCATATTAAAATGAAACCAAAATTATCTAAAAATAAAAATACTTAGATATACCTTATTTGCTAATTAAAAACATTTCACACCATACAATGTCACATTTTTGTGTAACAATTTTTATGTGGTGAACAATGAGTTCATATTCCAATAGCTAACACATTCACAGTCTGTGTTTCCTTTGTAAATCTCAAGAATTTCTAATTGTTTTAGGCTAAACACATTATTCACTTGTCTAATGATCGTAGGGTTGTTCAAAATGATCTTCACATTGGATTCCTTAATGTATAGTTATTGACAAGTGTTTAGATTAGGAATTCTTAACCAGGGGTTCATGAGCTTAGACTAGAAAAAATTAACTCATTACTTTTATTCTCCATAATCTTTTATTAAAATCTAACATTTGCTTCACTTATAAATGTATGTAATAAATGACAGCAGTATTAACTGTATATGTGGTCACCAATAAAAACAACAGCTATTTTTATATCATATTATAGTTGTTGCATTTTTCAAAAATTGGCATGAAAATTGAACCATGTATCCTTAATCCTTTTTTTTTCCTGATATAAACTGTATTGCAGATGCTGACTTAAATAAAAATATTAAGACAAAAATTAAGACAAAAATAAACTTTATTGATCTGAGGACAAAAAACTTACTACAATTAGAGTTTAACTCAAAAATCCTTGGAGAATTCTGGTGTTTCCTAAGAGAAGCTTATCCTTGTCTTGTAAAATGAGCTAAGGGAGCTTTGCTTCCATTTGCAACAATATATCTTTGCAAATCAGGATTTTCAACACTTGTAACAATGAAAACAAAAAGTCAAAATCGATTAATGTCCAATGTGACATGAATGTTGTCTTGTCAAATACCACATTACAGTTTGATGTTCTGATTAAAGATAAACAATCTTCACATTGACATATTTAATATGTGAAGAAAGAATCATTGTTTTTTTAATTTTGTTTCCAGAATAATTATGGGCATGAATATACAGAAAATGTTTATTTCAGTTGTTATATTTCAATAAAACTGGATTCCTTTACAATTTTGTTTTGCATTTAAAACATTTTTCTGAGAAGGGACTCGTGGCCTTTACCCTGACTGGCAAAGGGGTTCATGGAACAAAAAAAGTTAAGAACCTCTGGTTTAGATATTCCTTAACTCTACTATCTAGATTCCATATGGTACTACTAGCTTTCCAGCATCAAACTGCCATTTATATTGTGATGCATCAAATCCAAATTGAAACACTTTCTTGAAAAGATTAATGACAGACTAAAAATCCGTAAGACTGCAATTACAATTAGAACAAGAAATCCACATGGAAGTCCACTTTTTAGACATCATCATCACTTTTTAAGGTGAGATCCATGCCAAAAAATAGAAACCTTCTTACCACCCTATTTTCATTTCACACATTTCAATTGGCCCTTTCAAATTACCTTCTGATCATTAATAGAAAGGGCATTTGCACACTGCATGAATATGCATGATACCTTAAAGGAACTTAATTACATCAGGAAATTTGTGTTACAATATCCACATTGAAATTGATAAACAGTTTGATTAATGCTTTTAAAACATGCAAGATGAAGGGAGAACCACATAAAATAGAAAAGAGATTGCATATGACAACAAGGAAGTTTATTCAATACAAATTACTGATGAGAGGTCATAAAATGAAAGTTGCCTGAAATGCATATAATAATCTGTATGTAATTAACCAAAATAAATATACAGTAGAACCTTGATTATCCGGACTAATTGGGGATGAAGATAGTCCGGATAAGGAAAAATCCGGATAATCGAAACAAATACTTTAATTTGTCTTTTAATGATAATACAACACGTTTTCTTTTCGATGACATATCGGTAATATTAAAAGTAAATACTGTATTTAAATCGTGATCAAATTTTCAAGAAACAAACGTTCGTATTGAATTTGGACTACTACTGACCAACGCTAACAGACTACCTATTGTTTAAAAGGCCCTCTGGTGGCGCAAGAAGACGGATTTTATAAAATAAAAAGCAGTTGAAACTGCATTTTTATGAATAAAAATTTGACAAACTATTTATCGTTTTATGACGAGTAAAATTTTTTCGTCGCGTTCGCGGCTTTTAAGTAATGCATAAACCTTCGAGGCGCGAGGCCCTTCGGACCGCGAGGCATAGGCGGTGGCCCACGTCGTCCATGCCTTACGCCGCCCTTGGTCATAGAAATGATGTAATTTGAATATAAATTATTTATAAATACGTATGTCAAGTTATATTTTTATTACTACGTAAAATATATTTACGAGTTTACGACCACTGTGATGGGT